AAGAGCAAAATCCTCATCTCTAACCGTAGAAGGCGTGAGTGCGCTCAGGTCTTCAACTGGCAGGATAGGCGAGGATCGTCGACCGTATCCCTTGCCATGCGGGTCACGCCAAGATGAGCTTGTCGCAGATACTGGCTCATTCTCAAGTTGAGCAGTTGTAGGCTGAGGACTCTTGGGAAATTGAATCGACGTCTCACCTAAAGTAAGGCTTGCTGGCGTCGCGGTTGGAGCGGTCAGAGTATTTGACTTGTCGATCTGTGGCTTGGCTTCACTGCGGTTCGGCTTGAACTCGATATCAGCCGGTAATATTGGTAGCTCAACCATAGATCGTGATCGTCGCCTCGTGATGCGGTCGGCTTCAGTTGGTGTTGGGATGTTGGCGTGTAGAACATTGGCAAATTCATTTAAACGAGATAAATCGTAATTGATTTCTGCTGGCGTGTCATGCGGCTGTTTGAATCTCACGGAACCACACGACAGTGATCGCTTGTGATGCTGGAGGTTTGGAGACCCTTCTGCTGGGAAGAGGGCGCGATCGATGTTCGACTTTCTTGGTATCGGGCGAGGACGATGAACCACCGACAATGTTTTTGCAGAGTCTTCTCTCTTGGCCATGATCTCGTTCGCGTTGCTTCTGGGAATGACGGCCAGAGGTGCTGATTTCGGGGGCTGATTTCGCATTGGCTGGTAGGGGCGCGGTACTCTGGCGTCTACAGGCAAAGAGAAGTTCACGATGGCTTCCCCTCCGGCTTTGGTAGGAGTGCGTGCTTGCAACGTGGAGGGAGCCGTACGAGGAAAGATTGAAAGGGCTGGCGATGGCAACTGTCGAGGAGACTGCCGAGGGGATCGTCGTCGGACTTCGTCCGTCCCCGGTGACAAGAAAGCTGAAGTAGTGGCGGAGGCTGTATTCTCTGAAGACAAAGAGCTGTGTTGAGATTCGGCTAGTTTGACGGTGTCGGCCCAGTTCTCCTGGCTGGAAGCTGAGGTCCTGGAATCAGAGCTGGATCCGGAGCTAGATGTGCTCAAATTTGCCTGGTGCAAGGTCTGACGATAGACTTCGGGTTTCGTCGAGCTTGGTAAAGTCTGAGTTCTTGGTAGAGGGAAAAGTTGGCCTAGCACGGGAACACCACCCATTCCAATGTTGGCTTGCCCAGCAGCTGGCATCGTGATCAAAGGTAGCTCTCGTTTGGGTTCTGTGGGAACTGGCCAAGGTTTTGATGCTCCTGTGAAATCAGCTGCAGATGTTCTCGCTATCTCGTCATAACTCCTCGGGCGACGCATATCCGCACTGGTCATCTGTCGTGTATTGAAGTCTCGCGAGGCATCGAAATCGTTGACGTCCGCTGGTTGCATGTGCTTTAAGTTGTCGGAAAACAGTCGATCTTGGAACAAAGTGAGTATACCTATCGAGTCAGCTTAATTCATGGACGGATGATTGAGAGCAGACCTACCGATTAGTATCAACAGACCTACTGAAGGAACAGTTGTTCGAACAACAATGGACATGGGCTGAATGCTCAGCATCAAAGGGGCACTAGTCTAAGCATAGTCAGTTATGATTGAGCTCATCTAGCGGTCGTCTATACTTACTCCTGTCCATATTATCAAACCCAGCACAACAAGAGCGACCGCTCGGGACTGACGAGGACTAATGGCTCCTCTTTGGGTTTCCGAATAGACACCCCGAGAGATAACTCTGATTAAGAGGAAAGCCACGAAAGCGGTGTCGACAACAGACACAGTAATCCCAACCGGTAGAATTGACGTTTGAGTCAAACAGATAGTGTTCAGCTGTGGGCGCTGGATCCCTACAAAGACTCCTCCAAGAATAAGCCGTAAGACAATGAATCCTTGCATGACACCTATCTCAGTGAGAGACGCAAGACTGTGGGTGCTGAAGATCCATAACAGACTCTGTTGTATGGACACTCGTGCAAACTGATCGAATGTTGATGCAAAGGTAACCATGATCTGACAGCCTGGCATAGAGTTGATATTAAGTAAAAAGGCGAAGAAATCGATTTGAGCCCATAGGGCTGAAGAAATAAGGAACGCGATGAGGGCCAGCCTCGGAGCATCTCGAATGATTTTGCAAGCACGACTATTTAGAAGAAGAAAGGCACCGGCTATACCAGCATGGGCGACCAGGCCACTGTTCTCTGGTTATTCGATCAGTTCGTATGGTGGTGGTAGGGGATGACTTACAAAGTAAAGGCCGCAACCAGGGCCTGACGGTGATTGTTCGTCATGAAAGCGACATTAGTATTAGAATGAGTGTAACGAAGAGTAGATGAGGCTAGGAAAGTGAAAGGAAAACGAATGGGATCTTGGATCAACCAAGACGCATACTACTGCACGTAGTTCAGCGGTATGTGCGATTAGAAGAGAATAATGGCAAAAGAGGGAAAGGAGAGATGGAACGAAATGCGATGCAACGATGGGAAAGTCACCAGAGCCGTCAACAGATGGGGACAATACTTTGAAAGGCAGAGTTGCACTTGCAACACTAGGTATATCATGCTGGGTTTCAGACGAAGGTCTTGGGTCAAACTGGCTTTGTTCGAGCTCACTCGCGTGGTCGCTTGTTTTGTGGCGCACAATCCGACATGATTGGGTGGAATAGAGATATCATGGTGTTTCGTCAAGGCCCAATGTAGCATCTTCCGTTATGAAACTGGAATCGTCGGAGATGGCGGCTGTTAGGGCAACACTGAGACGAGGCTCCAGACTGGACTCGGCGCTTGACACAAGCCGGTCCACTGTTGAACTATAACAGGCATAGACGATAGCATACTGATGCCATCCATAGCAAAGTTATGAATAAGAGAGGGAGCCTGCTGGACTATAACCGCGAGTGTTGAGCTATTCCATGGATCAGACTTATTCGGAAACAGCTTCCAAGTTAGGAGCGAGACCGGTCTGTTGAAACATGGCGAAGGAGTTTGTTTGACTGTGACTTTGACTTTGGCCGGGAGATGGACGATCAGCAAAAGACTTGTTCAACTCATGTTATGGCTAATAAAAGTAATAAAAGAAAAGAGAAATAACGCTCGTCCTCTCGCGTTCAGATGAATTAACATGACATCCCATTACCTTCGGACAGTGACCGAGACATGATATGGCGGGGCAGAGGGAGGCCTGCTGTTGGTTGACCAAGTCGCCGCCCAAGGCATGGCACAACTTACAGGGTGACAGGCACCCTGGACTATGGCGCACTCTTATGTACATAGGTAGGAGGAAGAGGGAAGAGGCGAGAATGAGGTTATTGCCGAGGATACATTACCTACCTATAGTTGTACGGAGTAGCGTGGCAGTGATTATGGAAAGCGAACGGGTTGGAGATGGAGAAATAAACGGGCATCATTACTTCTCTATATTCTCTTTCTCGGTGGAGCCTCACTCTTATTCGACCCGAACACGCCCGAATGACGACAAGGGAGAGGGAGGGGCCTTGGGCCTTTCTTTCCCAAACTGGACTAAAACACGGGCACTTGGATGCAGCCCGTTGCTACCCTACGAACTTCCCCGGATTTCTTGTGATAACCTTACCCAGCGACTAACCACCTCAAGTCTGTGTGTGTGGTAAACTTGACATCAATCGTTTAACGTTTGATGACCAGATGTCGACTTGGGAATATGGTTATAAGTCTAGGAGAGGAAAGAAAACCCAGGGCTTTAATCCTGAATGACAAAAAGACCTAGTTGACTTAGTCTAACTTTAGGATAAACTTGGTACACCTTTCTTATTTGCTTAGTTCATTTTTACACCTTATATTAGGGTCTGGTGTTTTCTTGCTCCCTGAGGGCAAGTGTTCTATCTGTTGGATATGTTGATTGTAAGAGTTATTATTACCATAATGATTCAAGAATGGCCATCAATCAGGCCATAACAGCGCCGCTTGCTGATCTCCAGTAATTGGTCAAGTAACCGATGACAGCCACCAGTCCCGAGGTGTTGAGTAAAGTTTTCGTTTGTAGAACCACATTGAGTGCAAAGTCACCAAACAGTCGGCCTAGACAGCATCCAGGTAAATGCCATGATGCCGATTAACCATTACTAATACCATCCAAACCTCCGCGCTCCAAGCTTTTTTCATTTTGGGACACATGCCAGTTTAGCTAACGATATCGATGTCTAGGGTAGGGCATAACGTAATGAATAAATCACGGGCTGAACCTTGGCTGTTCCTTGGCTGAATCTCAGGTCGACGGGAGTGTATGACAAAAGCTGCATTATGATACCCAGAAAGAGACAAGTCAGCCCCTCTCCATTGTCCTTCCTATACCGTCCACGGCCGGTCCCCCCGGTCACCTACAAAGAGTCACAACCGGGCCGGTAGATCAGCCTTGGTCTGATATCGGCAACTTCAGCCTCAAACTCTACAGACCAGTTAGTCACTGATCCCGTAGCCGCCAAATATTACTTCATCCGTTCGGAATTCTCATGGCACATCCTATCAAAATCTAGATACAGCCAAGATTGATTCCAAATGAAAAGCCAGTCACCAGCTGTCAAAACCGGGACTTAACCTCCAAGACCCCATATGCAAATGCAGCTACCGGCGGCATGCGGCATGGAATTACTACATTCAGATTCATGATCTGTGACTCGCCAATTGGATTCTACGCAATGGTCAGATGCCACAGTTAGCCGCACCACCATAACCGCTGCTAGCCAGATGTGGCTGGATATCTTGAAAGTATACTGTCATGGCAGTGACCTCGAAAGGCGCGCAAGTGCTGTACATTAGCTGGTATTTTCCTCACCATGTACACTTCAAATTGCTCGGACAGATGTACCGAATAATTGAATGACATGATACCGTATCTCGGCTCCGATGCGACGACTCACAACTGCTTGGTGGTGGGATCTAGAATGATGTATGAGTAACACGATGTCCAAGTATAAGAGGCAGAGAAAGCACCACAACCAGAGACATCACCAATTGCAACCAAACTCATTACTATCTTCCACAGCATCGACATTACAATCAATCGCAATGGCTCGTTTAGATCTCGAATATCCCAAAGAGGCCATCAACACCGTCAAACGTGAAAATGACCGCGGTGTTTATGCCCTAAAGACAATCCACCACATCATCAACACTTGCCAGATCCTCCATGTTTCTTTCAACACGCCCGCCCAATCCTTCCCCGTCATCCTCCCAATGATCGGCCAGATGGGCTCATTTGACCGGCCTAGCGCAGACATTGGTGACCCTCTGGACCTCTATCTTCACGGATACGTGTCAAGCCGCATCATGAACTTGGGCCGCAGTGCTAGTGACGAGAAGGGCATGCCCGTTTGCGTGGCTGCATCGCATGTTGATGGGCTGGTTTTGGCTTTGTCTACCTTCCACCATAGCTATAACTATCGCTCTACGGTACTCTTCGGTCACGCGGTCCTCGTAGAGGACGAGGAGGAGAGGATGTATGCCATGGAGCTCATCACGAATAGTGTGGTGCCGGATCGTTGGCGACACACCCGTCTCCCGCCGACCAAAGCTGAGCTTCAAAGCACTGGCATACTCAAGGTTAAGATTGCATCAGGAAGTGCCAAAATCAACACCGGTGGTCCCAGTGACGACAAAAAGGACATGGAGGACGAGTCGATCAAAGATCAAGTCTGGACAGGCGTCTTACCTATTCACGCAACCATGGGTGAACCAGTGCCTGGTCCTTACAATAGGGTTGATGTGCCAGACCACATCGCTGAATTCTCCCAGGATTTCAACGAGGACAATCAACAGTATGCGTTGAATGCCGCAAGGGACCCCAAAAAGTAGGCTGACAGAATGGTCAATTCAAATGTCAATTATATGGTACATCCAGGAACAAGTTATACCTTAGCAGGCATCTAAGTAGAAATATACACAATGATACGAAATATGTGCAATCAGAACATATACAACATAGATACGGGTCTACCACTGCTCCCAGATCGTCCCAGGTAGCACAGATCGCATGATCTTCCAGTGTCCAGCAGCGCTGTCCTGGTGCCACTTAGTAACCTTGCTTGTTTCGTTCTTGTTGAGGACATCAGTAGCCTCATCTTCAAGGAAGACCTGCTCCTTAATCTCATACTTGGGCAATAGCAAAGCCTGCCGAACTTGGCTTCGGAGGAAATCCTTTTGCTTGGGATTGCGGAAGATGATTTCTCCGGGCGTCTTGCGGCAAAAGATGACCATGTTGGTGAAGTCGCTTCCCCACTTCTCAACATTGTCCTCGTCTCGTGGACTCTCCCGGAAGATACGGCAGGAGGGAAAAATCTTTTTGATGGTGCGGTATATGAGCTGAGGTGTGGGAAGACCAAAGTCACCAGCATAGTTCTAAGGGTAATGTTAGTGTATGGCTCAAGTTGATGCTCACTTTACTTACAATAGCAATGACTCCATCATCCTTCAGCAAGTCTCCCAATCCCTGGAGGAACTCGAGAGTGAAGAGGTCAACAGGCTCTGCACCACCAGTGAACACATCGTGAACAATGTAGTCATAGGACTTGGATTGCTTCACCAAGTCAGCTGTATAAGAGACAGCATCGGCGACGGCAGCAGGTTTGTTCTCGCGAAGATCAAAATATTTTTGAGCGAACTCATAAACCACTGGATCAATCTCAACCACGGTAGTGTCAATGCCGTGAGAAACAAAGGCAGAAGGGGTAGTTCCAATGCCAAGGCCACTGTGTTATGTTAGGGAGTTATGGTCAAGCGCAAGAACGAGCACTTACATGACAAGGGCGCTAGCTTCGCTGTCAGGCAGGGGAGCCTCTCGCTCAACAAGGCGGACAGCTTCGAGCATGACGAAAACACCGTAAATCGGCTCGGACACTCTTCGACCATTGAGCTGAACCCACTGACCTCCAAGAAGACTATGATCACAGCGCATTACACGATAACCTCTCTCTAGGCTCTCGATGACTGACACATAGCCAGTCAACGACTCGCGGCGCTCCAACAACGTCCAATTCTGGGCTGTCAAGGTACTGTTAAGAGCATCGGTGGCCATGGGTGTCATAACGTGGCTGTTTAAGACTGCTGTGTGCAATAGCGCAGGGAGAGCCAAGACGAGATACTTGGACGGTGCCATGATAGCATAGATGGCCCCCAAGACAAGCTCCATACCGACACGAGTAAACACAAAGGTGCTTCCAATAACACCCTGCAGCTTCTCCATGAACTGGTTCTCAGTCAGCCTAAACAGACCCCAAGAGACAATGCCAGGCGCCGCATCTGCGACGAATTTGGGCAGTGCGCTCAGATCAGCGTCCTCAAGAACATCGGCCACGGAGGCTGCCGAAACGATGGCCAGGGGGAACAGGGTGAAACCCTCGATAATGAGAGGACCCCACCAAGAGCCAAGACGGTCAGTGAAGGTCCCGAGAAGAAACTGGATAGCCGGGATATTAAGGGCGATGACCGGGAGAAGCTGAGAAGTCGACATAGGAAGAACCATGCGGAGCATCAGATTGCCAGCCCAACCAATAAAGCAAGCCGCCTTGAGCGCAGTTGTATGCGTGACAGCAGAAGGTATGGACCCAAAGATAGGGGACAGGTTGAGCTGCGACGCGCCCGACGCGACACCCAACAAACCAAGGAGCAAAAGAGTCTGGAAGTAAACAAGCGCTTGACCCACGAGCCGCTTTGAAAAAGTATCTTCCTGGGCCTTGGTCGCAAGTTCCTTGAGTTCCTTTTCAAACCGTTCCGGCGTGAAGCCCTCAGGCGCGCCAGTCGCCTTGCCGTCCTTTTTGGGAGCCATTATGAGATACGAGGGCAATTGATAGACAAGAATGTACAGAAAATACAAATCAGGATATGAGTAAAGAAGAGAAATAGACAAGAACGGTCTGAACTGTCGGTTCAAATGGCCTGCACTTGAAGCTCGTTGACAGTTGGTTGGTTGGTTAGGTATTCACAGATGAAATCAAGCTCAATTAAGGTTGACGTGGCGGGAAACCGTTTTCTTTATTTGGATTCTTTGTGGCTGGTGCAGTGGCTCAACTGAAGTGTGGGGCAACGTTTACTGGTATCTGAAGAGTATAAGTTAGGCTTCAACACCAGCACAGAAATAATTCTTCTTATACACAAATGAAGTTCTGTCTATTCAGCTTGCATTCATATGATATAAACTCGTACTAAAAGCTATATCCCACCACTCCACCCCATGGTAATATCTATCTAAACATTTACTGTCTTGCATGCACAATGTCACATTGGCCACTCGCACGGCAATCCTCTCGGTTTGAACCTGTCACTGTTACAATTACCGTGCTGAGTATACTTATATGGATGGCTGTTATAGTTGCGAAAATGAAATAACACAAACGATACAACGTTCTCTGGAGCCAAATCATGAGATTCAACGTAACTCAACTGCTGGTGCTGCCATTCCTCGTATTATACGTAATTCGTAAAAGTCCAATCCAATCTAACTGATCATGCACACCTTGCTTTATGCAACTCTGAGTTCTCAATGCTCGTATCCCTAGTATAATGCGCCCTCATGCTTCCCGTCATGCTTCCCGTCATGTCCCGAACCCCTCCAGAGGGGCCCCGAAACCCAAGGTATCATTCACTAAACCAAGCCCAAATGATCAGATAGAAAAATAACCATGGTAAGGCCCAAAAGGATGACAATATACCCATGCCAACTCCTCAGCCCTACCGAATCGCAATGCAGCAACGACAGAAACGCCTGAACGATGCAAGCCGTGGCAATGTTCCATAAAAACACCTCTGATCGTTCCTCGATCGTGTTGTCTGAATCTCGGAACCTTCCTCTTTTAAGTGTATCTTGTTCCCACACCTCCCCCTAATCCTTACATCCGTGGAGGATAGTCTTCCATATCGTCGTCACTGCTATCTATCTCCTCCTCTTCTTCCTCGTCATCTGTCCGTGGACTATACATGGCGCTCATTTCTGGCGCGCTTGGCCTGCTGCCCAGGCTGTCCAGAATGCCACCACTGAAAATGGGTGGTGCGGAAACCGAAAGGTCCGCATGACTCCCATTCCTACTCATGGAGGGTTTTTCGGGGAGCTGCTTGAGCAATCCTGTGGATATATCCAACATTGTCATCGCAAACTCAGTCAGACCCTTGCCTTCCCCAGGTTTGGAGCTAACTGACAGAGTCCATCTATACTCTCCCAAACGTCTTCGATACCAATCCGCTTCCTCGCGTCCAGGTGATGTTGCCCAAAGGAGAGATCCAAATGTACCAATCAATGCAAAGTTAGTCTTGGAAGCGAAGTACCAAAACGAACGCAAATGGTTGGGTCCGAGTCTGTTGACAAAGTCCATGGCAGAAATGAGGCGTGCTTTGGCGGCACTGCGGCAGATGTGCTGCACGTACGAGTCGACAGAGCTAGACGGAGAAGCCAATGACCGGATTATTCGTCGATGGAGCGTAATTTCGGCCGCAAAGTATGCCAGATGGAGATATCCAATACTGGACAACCTGTTTGATGAAGGGTTAAGAGAAGAGTATGAAGAGTCGAGGCGAATCAATTGTGGTAGACCTCCATACCATTCCTTCAATTTGAGCTGAATGGGTTTCGCAAGCGACAGAACGAGTTGCGTTCCTTGTTTACCTGCATTTGCAACCGTGTTCATGGCTTGAAGAGTATAGAAGGTGTCCAGAATTTCGGAGAGTATTTCCGAAAGTTGTACCACCCGTGTAAACAACACCCTTCCCTTCTCAATATCGAGCTTCTCCTCCGGATCGTTCTCGTCCCATTCAACGTCAGGGAAGTCATTTGCTGTTAGAGGCTGAACACCCCAGTTAGTAGCAAAAATGTGCGATGGCCGACCGTGAACTAGGGCACCCCATTTGTCCTGCATGTAAAGTGCCCAAGCCAATCGTTTTCTCAGGCCCTTCTCCCATGGTGGTATTTTCCAACCAGTACAATCCAGGTGCAACCCCAATTCATGACCAAGTGCGACAAGTTGGGCGGTAGGGGCCCACTGGTCACCCTCGGGCCTCTGGGAAAGAAGTAGACCAGCCTGGATAGTCGAAAGCTTGGGTCGAAAAGTGGCTTCATCAAGGGTTGTACGCACGATGCTCTCGAGCTCTCTAACATTGGGTCGTGGCAAGCCAGCCAGTTCCTCACTCTGATCCCACCAATTGATGGCAAGGATGTACACAGCTGCTAGTAATGGTGGTGAAAACTCTCGATAAGATCTTTCATACTTTTCCATGAACACATGTTTTTGGATGATAGGAAATCCTGGGTGCACGACTCGAAAGTATATGTCGATGAGACGTCTGCCGTGGGGAGCCACGATGGATTCGACATGATCGGCATCTTGCGTCACATGTTCGTGTCCTGGAGTGCTGGAGTCAGGAAGCATCAAGAAAGTATCGTGTTCGCTGACTTTGCGAAGAGTGCCTCTTGATAGTAGACTTTCGTCATGGGGATCAAAGGAGGAGAGGTTGATGAGTGAAGGTTCAAAGTCTGTGGTCGGGCCAATGTACTGGCTGTAGCGATCATCCTGGAGGCCAAGCGTACGTTTAAGCATGGTTGGGCCTCCAACATTGGCCATCTCCTCCAGGAACGAACTGCTAGCGGCGGTGCTGGAAAGGCTGGAGTTATGGTTTCGTCGCCTAGATGCGAGACCCGGTGAACTGTACGAGGCCAATCATATGTCAGACAAAGGCATGCAAGGAGGAACACGAGTAAGGTGAAAGGTTATCAGAGAAAGGGAAAGAGTGTAGAAGGAAACGATAGACGCATGGGAAAGGCACGGGGACCGGTGGAGCATTCAAGCCAGGATGAGTGTGGAGGGCTCGGCGGCATGAATATGGAGAAGAGTATGGATATGGAGAATGAGATGGGGATATCGGAATTGAGCTGACCTTCTTTTCCCGATAATATCATCACTAGCCTCACCATGAAGCTTCCTTTTTCGGGACTGAGGGCTGGATGAAAGGGAACAGTCGGAGCCCGCAGCTTGGCACTGGATGCAGCAGTCGTCGTCGTCGTTAAGGATGCAGTTGACGCGAGAGTACCGACATGATAGACAGGGTGGGATGGAGGAGGCGTTGAAGGATGAACCCTCAACGGGTGCAGAGCTGGCGACTCCGTGACCCATCTCGAGCCTATGGAAGCTGTCCTGGCGATAAGCAGATGGCTCTGGCCGAGGAGGTTTAGGAGCAATGGCGATAGGCGCCGTCCTCTGGACTGGGGCTGAGGACTGGGGAGACATGGTGGGAGAAGTTACGGATAGATCCAGAACAATGTATGGAACCTCGATACCGCCGCAGGTCTGTCTGCCTGTCTGCCTGCTATCAGCGGAGCAAAACACCAACAAACAGAGGGTGTGTTGCTGTCAGGGCACAACCTAGGGCTTGAATTGTGTTACACCAGAATACCTTACAGGCGCCCGTTGCCTTGCAATAAACGGGCGCAAGAAGGTTGAGCCTCAGTGGCTCTTTGAGTTGTCAGCCTCCCGTCTCGGGGGTACAATGCAGCCCGGTCAATGCCAGTGCAGCAAGATTTCCGATACGGGTGGTGGTGACGATAGAGATACTGTAGGTGGTTTTTTTTGGGGGGATGCGATAAAGCCCCACGGGGTCGACAGTGACGCAATGCGGTTGGAGCTACGACCACTGAGAAGCGAGATGATAGGTAACGATAGCTAATAGAACCACGTTATCCAAATCGAGTTGATTGAGTTGATTAGAGTCACACACACGACACGAGTCAATGGTTGGTGTGAGATAAGAATCTGGGGAAACGGAAGACGGGATGTGATGGGAGGCGAGGCGAGGCGAGGTGTGATGCAAGGAAGAATGAGAAGAAGGAGAAGGGAAAAAGATAAGAAAATGCCCGAGCGAGCGAGCAATCAAAGTGTGTAAGTGGTTGGCGAAGGAAGACGGGAACCAGCGCGAGCGAGGGCAAAGAGTGGGATCCAAGATGCTGGGATCCAATGTCAGGGACTTGCTGGGATGAATGGGGATGGCGGGCGCAGATGGGCGCCGATGGAGTCGAGTCGGTCGACGGCGCAGAAGTGACAGCGACAGCGACAGAAACAGCGACAGAAACAGACCAGACCAGACCAGGGGTGTATTTCTTTGGTTGGTTTAGTTATCTGATAAAGGCTTCTGCAAGCGGGGAGAGGGTATTGACTAAGAGAACGATAATCAGGTTGAGAAATACCGAACTCGGTCCTTATTGTCGAGCCAATCCTCCTCTGTTTTCTCTGTTTTCCCTCTTGTCTTGTCTTGTCTTGCCTAGGCAGTCTTGTCCTGCTGTCCACTCTTCGTCTCCCCTCTCTGCAACCAAGATTAGATATATAAGGTATGTAGGTTGCAGATGCGATAGTCCGGAAATTGTACGGCGATGGATGATGCGGTGCGACACAACAAGCGAAAGTCTAGACAGACAGGACAGAGAGTACGGTGCTGCTCAGATCGTGGGCGACGGCGATAACAGGTCGGCACAAAAGAAGCAAAGCAAATTGAATGACAAGTTGCTTGCCTTGGTACGCCCGTTGTGAGCTGTCAGCTGTGCTCTGGCTGGCTGATTTGGTGCTCCCACTGCCAAAATGTCTTGACTCTTGCAGGCGGGGGGATCAAAGCCTGGGGAACCGGGGATTAGATTAGACTGTGTTTGGTTGGAATGCAGATGCAAATGCAAATGCAACTGCAGGGCCAGGGTATTGTCCTGAATCTCAATGCGCCGTCAATTTATTCTCTGCTGTGACCTGATTCGATCCAGTACCGGCTTCTCTTCTTGGAGAAGAAATGGTCCGGAGAAGCTGTGTGTAACAGCCAACTGATACTGATAACAACGATGATAAGGATTCGCAGAGACCAGTGGACCCTCGGAGAGGGTTAGAATCCAGGTAACCTGGGCTGGCGGCTTTGCCCTTGTCCTTTTTTTTCTCTCAGGGAAATGCGAGATAAGCTAACAGACCTATCAGATTCGACGTCATCAATAAAAAACGACCGACTGGGCCAAAATCAGCTACCTAGTCGCCCGACAGTGGCGCGATGGCCGGTTTCGCAGCCGTGAATGACTTATTTATATCAGAGTATAATTAAAGAGGTGCGATAGCCGTCCGTTGCCTGAACTGTATCTTTTGTGGCTGGGCAATACCCGAAAGTGAATGAGGAGAGAAAGAGAAGAAGGGGAAAAAGGACAGAGAGGAGCAGAAAAATAGCAGAGTTGCTGCTACTGTACTAAATTGATCATGGAGGAGGCTTTTTGGAGAAGGGACATGAAAGTGCAAAAGGACAGGCATGTGAGAAGAGACAAAAAGAGAAAGAATACATCCGGCTTGATGGTATTCCCCGCAACGCCAAAAGTACCTGACCAGGACTTCTCCCGTCAAAGGGTCCCGTTCTCCAGATCCAGTCCCCAAGTTCCCCTCCGTCAACTTCGGGACAAGCCTTGTCAATTGGTGTCTAAGAGGCGTCCCCCCAAATTCGAAGCCCCCGGAGCATGTGCCGAATCAGGAATCTCGAACTTGGGGAACATGGCCCAGGAAGGGAGGTACTGAACTTCAGTACCTATGTTTCGTATCTCGACATCAACCAGACGACCAAGGGGGATGCATCATCTGGGGACATTCGTGTCTTTGCCTGTATGCACAGTTGGGCTGTCATACCCTCAACTTGAGTGGCTCTTTGCTTGTCCTTGCACGCAAATATACTAGGGGCGTAGTAATCAATGACTCAACAGACTGAAACATCAAACCTTAAGCTCTCTCATGAAGAGATATCCACCTGCTGCAAATCATATCCTCTAATATCAAAGTCGCTTCCAATTTCCGACTTGTCAAAGAGACACACGGATGGTACGGTGTACTCAGCGGGAACACAGCCTTGCCTGAATCATGGCCAATGCTGAGCCGTTACATGGCCCTAGTCATGTAGACGAGAACCAGCGTGAGCAATGGGGGATTTTCTCGGCAGCGGCGTCGTTGGCAAATGCCCAGACAAAGACCAGCTCACTTTTTCCCTCGGCCGAGGAAAGAAATGGGCCATATCATGAACAACCCCGGGGTCCAGACTCTAGGTCCGGGTCTGGTGTTGCTTTGCACTGTACATCCGAGCGAGTGAGGATGAAGGCAGTGAGAGTTGAATGGATGAGCAAGCTTATCTCTGAAAAGCAGAGGAGATAGAAATACATAATGGCAAAAGATAAGTTAAATCAAGAAAAGAGGAACCCCCCAGCCTCCAGAGACATTTTTCTGCACAATCACAGATGCCAGCTTTGAACACCATCTTGAGAGGAAACCTTGAACTTGAAAAGTACAGTATACACAAAATAACCATGAAAACGCACGTAGAAGTCAAGTATTACATACCAGCTGACCAAGGGCGTCCCTCTGAGCCCATTACCAAATGGAAAACCATCTGTGAGCTTGTCTTGCCTCATTCTGCATGGTCCGGCAGTTGTTTTAACGTAATGGCTCATCCGGGGTTGATTTACCGCCGCAGTCCAACAAGACGTTGTTATGTATCCTCTCGCTGCGTATGTATGTTCGTGGCTAAAATAACCTTTTGTCTCATTGGCAAAATTCCCGAGGTTCCTTACTGTTGGATTCGCTCGTCGTGATATGCCTCATCAGCTCCCAAAACACCTCAAATCTCCCCTATCTGCTCACTTTTGGCACCATCGGCTCTATTTCAGATCCGGTGCCGCCGCGGGCTCCTTGGACGAATCCGAATAACTCCGATGTTCGGTTCACAGCATGTAAACTCGGTGAAGCGTTTGCCAAAATTAACCTGTCATCAGTCAGTTATCTCCGGCTGCCAAGTGATGATCTTCTCGTCCCTCTTTGATAGCAACAGTTCCTGGAACAAGAAAGCATTATTCATGTAATCCGCAGTTTCATTCCGCCAAATCTTTACACAGATTTTGGAGAGCCGTTGACATGGGCCCCGCACGTGATAGCTTCTTCCTAGATCTATCAGCTCAGAGTTATCAACAGATAACTTCAGATCCCTTGGAACAAATACGCCCCCTATGATTGGTCTATAGAAAGCCCTCCCATCACGATCCGAAAATGTCCCTTGTCCTGTCCCTGATCTTGGCTCAACAGAGACTCGACCCCTGTGCCGTGGGGGCTACAGGGGGACGTTGCCGGTCCTGTCCCGGCTCATCGCTACGCACGGGCCAGTTTGTCGAGATCCATCAAACACTGATTCTAGAGCGAGCAATATCTGGAGCAAGAGCGTCATTGTTGGGTTCGGAGCTTCTGGCATGGTGGCTGTGACTTTGTTGATTTGATGCAGATGAGATGCACGACCCAGCTACACTATGTGACCCCCTATCTCGACCGATAACGATTCTAACCTCTCCGTCCAGTCCGAAGCTCTGCTTCGACTTACAACCTCCGTTGATGTCATGCCAGAGAGTTGAGTCAAAGCTCAGCGTTAAATTACCCTTAACGTTTTGCCACGTGAGTGTGGAGACGATTAGCGACAACGTTGTGGCCTCGTGGGTGTAACTCTTTATGGCTTTCAGTCTCGTGTCCAAACCATGACTCTCTCTTCGTAGTATTCAGTTGGTTCATCTGAGCCACGAGCTGGGAGTATCATGTTTAGCTCCTCTTGAATCTGGAAGCCTAGTTTTTGATAAAACGAGACCGCATTCATGGTAGCCTCGAGAATAACCGGTGCATTCTCTTTGGATGCCTCGGCCTGCACTCGACGAAGCAAAGTTGACGCAGCCCCTCGGCCATTGAACTTGGGATCTGTGCATAGATATGTCACGTCTAGGAAATGTTAGTGCCGAGTGACATTTGGCCAAGGTAGCTTCGACCAAATTTCGACATCATAGGAACATAGCGGTCAAGGTTTGGTCGTCAATATCCCGGCCTCCACTCAGCAGCAAATAACTCACGGTAATAAGTCTTGTCACCCAGGACCTTGTCTCTCTTACTCTTGGTAAGATCCGCGTAGGGGCCAAGGTATTGACGACGGCAGAAGTCTGGAAACTCATCCTCATCGGCTTCTTCTTCTTCTTCTTCTATTTCTCGCGACCGCTGAACGTTCCACTTAGCGAAACTCGCTATTTTCCCGGTCTCTGGGTCGCGTGCAACGAGAACACCCTTGTCGACGCTTTGGACATGATCCATAGTATCTCTGAAAAGCCAGCCTCGGAAAAACTCCCTGCTCTCAGGGTTGGGAAATTGTGCGTGCATCAGCAGGTTGATGTCCATGGCGGCAAAGAAGGTGTCGGTGACACCAGGGGCCTCTCTCTCAGAAGGAACTAAGATTTCGAATGACATCGTTACTACGTGATGAGACGTAAAGGTTGCTTAAAGAAAGCGGAAGTGAAGCACAGGAAGTAGAAAGTTGTGAAGTCGAAATTGGCCAACAAAAACCTCACGATATTGCGTTTGTGGCCTAGACCTGGGGCACGTGACAGTTTGGGTAAGTTCCTTAATCTTGACGTCTTAGAGCTCTTGAATCTATAATTCTAATTCTTCGAAGCCTACCCAACAGTGTCGGCTGCATTCCGAGTGTTGTGTTTCTATCGCTATCGCTTGAAATCAGGTGTGACACAATATTCAAGCCTCAGCTGTCAGTAAGACTAGTTCTGTATAAGGGACTACCGGCTCGATAGCCTCGATAGTGTCATTATTGGTAAATTGCGGCCATTGAGAAACCTTTCAGGCATTTAAAGGCATGAAATAGTATAACTGTGCCCAAGTTGACTTATAAACTTTTGCCGTAGACAGCTCTTCTATGGCTTGCCCTGTATGCACTATCTACCCGTAGAACGACAACAAAAAGGGGCAATGGCTTTATACTATAACTCGCAACTTAAACTTTCTTGAGATTCGGGGCGTCCCAACTCTTCTCATGTCTTTCAACTAAAACTATTTCTCAATATTGGGGCTCTACCTCATCGGTAGGTGCGATGACGTGTTGACAGAACTGCTTTGCGAAGTCGTCTATTTCATTAGAACTAGTGCCTTATACTGCCTTATACTTGATTTTCTAGCTTTCATTGTATTGAGGAGAGTCTAAGGCAATAGGCCATTGATCTAAATACAGAGTCGACACGCAGCTCAGAGCCAGGGGTGACAGCCCGTTCACACAGCTTGGGCATATCTCTCCAGTCCTTTAATGTCCAGTGTCGTCTTCATGACAATTACTTTATTCGCGCTCTCTTTCCAAGTAGCCTATGCGGATATTCACCTCTGTATAAAAATATCTGAATTTGCCATCGCTGAAGCTTATGCTATCAGATTTCATCCTGAGAGAGCAACGCAGCAAACAGTTCACGCAAGAGTCTCGAGGCAACTAACTCGAATCTTGGTGGGTTTTCAAATTATGGAAACCTTCTGGGCTAGTTCTTAAATCTCATGAGCTGGGAAGGAGTCCAATCATAAACTTGTGACGGGCAGATCTCGACCAGATACACGATACTATAGACATATAGTTGCTTTGGGATCGGAGGTTGATCTCAATCATTTGTATTCCATGAGAACACAGGTTACTGGTCTCGACAAAGCTTTGATAGCACATATCACAGTAGCATCACCAGTCCTTAATATTGAGTGTCAGCCCGGCAAGCTTTGCCCCTTCACTCTCAAAGAACATTGGTTTTGTATATGATGTTACTTAGACTTGACAATAGTAAAAACAACACTAGAAGAGCTCCGGCGAGAGAATAGGATGATAAGAACACGGAAGTCCAGTCCGGGCAACAATCTCAACGTTTGAGGGATTGACGCTCCAAGATTATTGGGCAACTATGCCATGACCTGAGCTTGGGGGCCCGGAATAACTTCATATTGAAGGAGTAGTCAAGTAGCTGGTTGACCATTTTCCGAATTTCTCACATGAGAAGTGGAAAGGCATGAACTTTTTATTCGTATAGGCCAAGTTCAACTTACATCCCTGGCAGTTCGGTCTTCCCGTGGCAGCGAATGCAAGTGGCATATCTTACTGCAAATTCTCGTACCACTTCACATGGCCTTCTAGATCCTATTTTCTCAGGAGTTGGTACAAATTGTCATTCACAGTGATGCAGTTCGGACAAAGTTAACTTGCGTAAAGCACTTCAAACCTTTTAATACACCAGTTGCGGTGTCTTTTTAACAGACATCTTGACATCACACATACGGAACGAGTTCAAGAGGTACAGGACAAAGGGGCCGCTATATGGCAACTATAGACCTAGTCTGGCGAAAAAATACAATCATGACTCCCTGAGTCTGCCAGGGATTAAAATTACTTAAAAGAATATGTGCGGTTTGCTAGTGGTCCCTTATGATGAGCCGCGGTCAAGCATGCTAGCCCGCCGACGGCAGATATGATAAAATGAAACGCCGATGATGGCCGGGTATTTATACAGGAGGGTTGAAAGAAGGAAGCTTGTTGGCACAAGCGGCGACAGCCTTGAGGGCCTTGGCGTTGGTGAGGGCAACAGCCTTGGCGGGCTGGGTGCGAGGAGTACCGTAGACGGGGAGGTCATCCTCAGCAGCAGGGGGGGTGTAGGCAACATCGTCGAGGCTGAGCTTCAAGCTAGGGACGGTGCTGATGTCGATCTTGGAGCCGTCGAGCTTGACGATCTCAACCTGGAGGCCGTTGGTGACGGCATCGGCAACCTTGGTAGGAGAGCAGGCAGCAAGAAGCTGAGGGGCGTCGGCAGCCTGGTCAGCGGAGAAAGAACCGTGAATGATACCCTCAGCAGGCTGTCGCATAACGACAAGACCACCAACGAGCTTTCCGGAGACGTAGACGTTGACCTGGGCAGGTCGCTCAACCTCGGTGACATCGAGCTGGACGTTGGCAAAGTAACGGGTGGTGTTGGCACCAGCACGCTCCTCAATCAGGCCACGCTCCTCAACATCACGACGGCGGGACGAACCGCTGCCATAGAGACGGTTGATGGTGGTTCGGGCGGAGCTAGAGAGCTGGCTGGCAGACATGCGCCAGTACTCGAGTCCAGCGTAGGTGTAACCGAAACCCTTGATGCTCTTAACACTGTCAGAGGTGTGGAAGTTACCCCTGGATCGGTAGAAGGGGTTGAGAGGAGAGCTGGGGGTGATGCGGGTGCCCTGGGGAGTAGAGTAACGGGCACCACCAGAGTAAGAGCCGGTGAAGGTGGACTGGCTAGGGTGCATGGCCTGCCAGTAAGCCCAGAGACGATCGACGTTGGCGTGGTGCAACCAGAAGAGGGAGTCGAAACCAGAGAACTCGGTGGCGAGGAACTGGCCGGCGCAAGAAGCATCCCAGTGAATGGCGTTGTGGATCTGCTCGAGAGAAGCACCGTTGGCACCGGTGGAAGCGAACTGGTTGAAAGTGGTAGGTCGGGTCATGACATCGTAGACCCATTGCTTGTAAGGTCGCTGGCGGAGGAGCTTGTTGGCGCTTGAAGGGAAGCTGTCGGGAGCGGGGCAGTGGTAGATGCGAACGCGGTGCTCGTCGTCCCATGATCCGTATTTGTTGTTGAGGGCGTCCTTGGGGAAGTTGTAGGTATAAAGAGGGTTCTTCATGTTAATGGTCTTGAGGCCGCTGCCGTTGGGAACCTTGACGTTGACATTTTGCTGGGTGAGGATAGCGGGAATGCCATCGAGGGCCCAGTCCCAGTAGGCGGCACGCAGGTTGTTGGCTGCATCAACGTACTGCTTGCGGTACTTGGAGGGGTAGAGGTTGGCCAGGCGCTTGGCATGCTCGACGAGGATCTGCTCGTAGAGCAAGACATAGGGACGATGCCATGTCAGGAAGATGCTCTCACCGTGAGGGCAGTATCCGGGCCAGCCATTGCCGCTTCGACCACCACCACCGTTCCACTGAATGAAGGGCTTTCCGTGAATACCAGCGACCTGGAAGTAGGACTTCCAGTCAGTCTCCTTAGCATCGTACATGGAGCGGACGGCTCGCATGTAAAGGTCCCTGGTGTTGAGATTAGCATTGGCCGTGTTAGCAAGCACACGGCAGACTCACCAGGCGGGGCCGCCAGCCTTCTGCATGTCATTGATGTTCTTTCGAGCAGGAACAGCAGCTCCACCGGTGACGGGGACACCAGTAACGAAGATGTTCTGCTGCTGAGCCTCGACGGGGTTGACACCGCCGACGACCGCGAGAGCGGCAACTAGGAACTTGCCCAGCATGATGATTGTCCTGAAAAATAAAACGAATGTATTCGAACAGAAGTCGTGCGTCAATGTACGACTTTGCTTGCTCAAGAAAAAAGGACAAGATCGGAGAAGGAAGTGGTTAAGAGTGTGGGAAAACGTCCGAGATATAGTCAACCCTGAGCCATGACCACGGCAACAAGACGGGGGGTGTGAGAGGGCTGATGGCAATGGCTATGGCTCTGGGAATAGGTCATGATCCCTTCTCCGCATCCGAACCTCCGTCCCAGCTGTCAATCATCGTCAAAGGGGTTCGTAACGCCCCTCATAGTGGCCCTAGATGACAAGGGGGGAGGGGGTGCACAGGTAGGGCAAAGATCGATATTCCATGGGATGTGTCCACTGGCGAGGAGTTGAGAGTTGCAAGGAGAGGACCACTGAGCAGTGAGCGATGAATGAGCTAGGAAGGTGTGGGTGAAATTGGGATATGACCCATGCACATGAACAAGCCAGGGTTATGGTTGCTTTTCTCTCGTCTTTTCTGTGCTTAGTAGCTTGTTCGCTCGTAACGCCACATTGGATGGATCAACGTCTGTGTCCCTGGCGATTCCCTGGGCCTGTCAAATTGCCTACGCGTCAATTATGTCTAGACGTTAGTCGAGACATTGACAAGGAGGAGAAGAAAAGGCAATCCTTCAGTGAGATCCAGTGCTGATAGTAAGAAACTCTGTCTGTCCTATGGCACGTCGTATTCGATGGTTGTGAAGAGACCAGAAGAAAACAGGGGGGGACAGGATCCCAGGCCAGCCCAGGCCAGCCCAGGCGAGCGGTACAATTGACCACAGCCCTGCTTCTGGGCTCTTCCAGCGGTTGGGGGAGCTGGAAGTTGGAGTTGTTTGTGCCTGGTGAGTGGGCCAGGCTAAGGCAAAGGTGGTAGTGGGCCTGTCGCTCAGCGGCACGACACGACACGACACGACACGATACCCAGAGGACAAAGGGATTGTTGTGGTTAGGGGGTACTTTGCTCGGACACCTTGCATAGGTGAGATGCCGAGGTACCGAATGTAAATTGCAATCTCAGACAAGATGTAGCGTAGCGCCCAAATGGACTCCCCTGGCGCGCTTAGAGCCTGTACCTGAAATTCTAACATGGCTTGCATGCCTAAATTGGGCCCGGCTGCGGATGAATTCTGTGAGGATTGGATGTGAAGAATCATGAGCAAATGTGAATTATTTCCTGAAAGAGCTGAGCTCAACGGCGACAGTCCTAGACGCCCAGCTCAATGAGGCCATAATCGTAGCCACAACTACCACACACAAGCAACCACGGGTGACCCCAGGCCTATCGCTAAACTGTCGACAACGTAGCATCCAGGGACTCAAATTAAATTGATGCCAAGAGTGAAGCCGCCCCTACCTAGCAGAGTCTACTCGTCGCTGGCAGCCCAGGCCCAGGCTAGGTACAGGCCGGCACCCGGCACCACGAGCACACCGAGGGCCAGGTCATGACATGATGTTCGGAAGATACTAAAAAAGGATCACCAGCGCGATGCGCTCTGACATAACAGCCTATCGCAGATGCAGCTGAAGTTGCGTTTGGGATTGATGATTGGCACAAGGGGCATCAGCCGCTTTCCGGGAACAACTCACGATGCGTCAAAACTACGTCAGGCACTATTGATTATTATTCCGAGCAGTTATTAATATCCATAGCACAATGATCAACGTTGGTGTTGAGGGAAACAGATCCTCCTCGATCCTCTCTGGATGGCAGACAGGGATTGTGGTCCTGGACTGTACATAGAGAGGCAAACCTGGACGCCCCGGATCTAGACGGAGATGCCGATTCGATCGGTACAGAGACGAGCGTGTAGCAAGGCAGTAGGAAATAATCGGCTCAGTTATACGAGGCTCTCATCTGTGGTGCGTATACGGTATGGTTAGGTAAACCTGATACATGACAAACTGGTGTGCATGTCCATTAGGGAAACAAACGGAGAAATTATCTCTCTGGTCAGATCAGATCAGAATCAGATGCAATTGCAATTGCAATTGCAATTGCAAAAGGCCCTCTTGCTTCTTCAGGTCAGCTCAGTTCAGCTCGTTTGTCTGTTTGTCTACCTGAGGCAGTCCATCACATCTATGTTTAGGCCTCTTGTCTTGCTGGACTTGTTAGACACTGATGAAAAAGCCCTTTTGGCCTTTTTTTAGCATCATGACGGGTTAATTACGGTCTCGGTCCTCGTGGTTCGTCCTCACCGTTTAAGCTAGACCCAATCTCCCTCAAGCGGCTTCTGCTAAGATGCGAGCCTTGGGAAATCCACCCAGTCATGAAACAGCCACCCGCTCGATTCGTGCATAATGGCCTACCCCTAGACTTGCAATAGTCTAGACGGCTGAAAGGATCTAGTAACTAGTCTCTTGCACTGGCCAAGGGGCGGAGGCGGCAGCCTTTTGTCTCTCATCAGGCTTACGCTCACCAGAGCCATGGGCCGTTGTCCGAAAAAGCCATGTCTCAGTAAGGGGCAATTTGCACTAAGGGAGAATTAAATTCATTAAATCTCCCTACCTCCAGCTTCTAGCTCGCCTCTAGCTTCGTTGCGCCTCTGCGCGTGATTCCGCTTCGCTTGGGTCCGTTTCAATTAGAACTATTGATTATGCTACTGTAGGTAGGATTGGAATTGCATCTCTTCCAGTCGTAGCTATTCGCTTGGCAATGCTGTTTCCCCTTACTTAAGTTACGGCAACAAACAAAAAAAGATGGTGTTCTGCCGTAAGCCTCCATGCATGGATCTTCTCTTCAACCACTTATATCCTGACAAGCCCACGTCGACAAACAACAAGCATTTAGCTGCAGCCAATCCCGTATTTTCTATGTGTCTGTAAGCGTCCGCCTCATGTAACTCGATGCATTCATGACTGGGACTGTATCCTGCTGTTAAGCTTGAAAACCTCGTGTTGACCTACACACCGCCGATGAGGTATAGCCCGCCTGCATGAGGCTTCGATCCATTAACTTGCCGATACGAGCCTTACAGGTGTCAGCCAAGCAGAGCTGTAGGATGCCCAACTCGATATCCAAATATGGCATCTCGAGATGCTGATGCCAAGTTGGGCTGATCAGATCAGAGTTTGAACCGTTTACTAGGCGTTTGCCTCGTGCCTCCCCGCGTCCCAACGGACGAATTCGGCGCCGGTACCGTTGTCAGATTTAGGGGATGTGTGTTGTGGCTATAGCCTCAATGGCTTGATGGCAGATGATGAGGCCATTGAAGCGTCTATAAATCACTTGACATTGACAGGAGGCTATTGCAAGCAACCATGGATGATGGCTATGCTGGGTAGAAGCTTGTATTCGACACAGGGAAGAGATCGAGCAGAAAGTTATTTTTTAGCTTATTCTCAGAAAGTTTACCGGCACAACTAGACAACCTCCAGAGTCACCTCGCGGCTGACCCCGTACCGTAAGGTAGAAGGTAGACATAGGCTAGCCATGCATCACAGTCGCATCCTCTCATAAGATCCAATCTAATGATGTGATGAATGAGGGGAACCCATGCAAGTCTCGATTGAATCTGAGATGGATGTGCCAACTTGCCAAGCACGAGCAAGACCAATGCTTACGGCTGATTTATCTCCATTACTATTTTCAATCAGTGTATGGATGCCATTGCCAACAAATTCAATAATCTATTACTAGTCCCTTGACAGACTTGGCAAAAGATCAGCTCGTTATGCGACAAGGTTGTTGTGCTCAACTCTCGCTTACAGCATCTCCTCTTGATGAATCAAGATCCCCTCCTCGTTCCTAATGCACGGAAAACTCTGCTCCTCCGATTCAGTTGCTGATCACTTCAACGGTCCGGTTACATGTCGACAGTGTTTTGTCATGATAACTTGACTTGGGATTGTCGATTTCCAATCTGGGACTGAAACACGACGTGATCGTCACGCCATTTGCCAAAAGGAGTCTTTCTGGGTTCCTGTAGATCAGCTTGGCAATTAAGGGTTGACCCTTGTAGTCGTTACACTGAACCAAAAGAAAAGAAAAAACACCATCCAAGAACTTACAACTACGGAGGATAAATCCAAGACAGTCTTGCGCGTCATCAGCCATGCTCACAGACACAATACAATGCCTCTTATCCACAAAATGTCTCATCGAATGGGGGCAAACATGTACAGATACAGTATCACTTTTATGGCGCAACGCTAAAAAGCAGTCATCGCACAATGCCACGCCTTGTGAACCACCCATCGCATCAATACGATGCTGACCACGCCCCCTCCAGCTTCCGACTCATGCAGGTCCCGGGATATACACTCTGAACTCTGTGTGAAGGCATCATAGGACCCTCTTGCTGCTTACTCCGGTCCACTTATGGAAAGAATACGACACGATACAAAGTGTATCGTGCCATCAAAGCTCCCTTCTTCCATGTCAAGTTGAAAGATATCCTCCACTTCTTTTGCTTTGGTGCGACACTCGTGGCCGGTCCTTCATGATCGACGTCTCAGACTTGGAGTACCTACACTCGGACTTAGAGTGATCTCTCCAGCATCACAAGGTCCCGGAAACCTTCTCTCCACCGTTTTGTTTGCTCTGTGTCTGGCCTCGGCAGTGGACTTCGTGCAAAGCCTCCGTAACCCATCCAAGACTGTAGCCCAGCCTTGACACCAACCACACCGCCCTGGATCGCCGTCCAGTCGCCCTGTGAGACCACTTCCTGCATCTTTTGTGCTTCGGAAACATTGCCTTGCAGATAGAGGTCCATGGTCTTGATGCATGCCCTCGGGGCAATGTTGGCCAAGCCTGCCAGGATGCCGTGACCACCTCCGGCCAGAGAAGGGATCAGAAAGTCGGCAGAGCCTGCGAGGACCACGAACCCGGGCGCCTCTGAGTTGTATTTTGAAAGCTTACGGGTTGCTGCGGCTACCCTGTTCAGTTTTCCCGTGTTGCCGCATGTCAACTTCACGCCTACAATATTTGGATGTCGTGCAAGAGTGATGATCATGTCGGATGACATATCCATGCCCCCCACGGCACCAGGAAAGTTGTAGATTATGATGGGAATAGGAGACTTGTCTGCAACTTTTGTGAAATACTCCAGGATGGTTTCCGAGGCCGGGGCAAATAACGTGGCATAGTAGGACGGGGGTAGGACGAGCGCATAGTCACCGCCAGCCTCCCAAGCCTCACGGCAGTATTGTACGGTCTCGCGTGTGCTCTGGCTTCCACATCCCACGATCACGGGCACATGCGAGAAGCCGCCGTCATTCAGGGCGGCTCTTGTAGTGGCGGTGACCAGCTGCCGCTCCGAATGGGAGAGATGAACGGCCTCTCCGTTGGAACCCTGCGTCGCAAGGCCTGTTACACCAGCATGAGCGAGTCGCACAGCATGAGCGGCAATTGCAGCGGTGTCGACGTCTTCTGTGTCTGCATCGAAGAAGCACATGGTTGGAACATAGACGCCGGGTATTAGAAGGCGTCTTATATGCTGCACGTCATCCAAGCGATCGTCTGCAGAAGCGCTTGATGAAGAATCAGACATGAAGTTGTGATTTCCATTGCTTGAGTGCCATTGGCTGTGGTTGTATAGCTGGGTGCTGAAGGACCCTGCTGGTGAGGGAGCATCACTATGAGGAGGCATGATATATATAGCTTGATACTATTGGGATTGTCTGAAGTTTGGCTGGGTTCAGTGTTATAAGGTGTTGGATATGATTATCAGTGTGATGGGCAATATTGCAAGCTCTTATTTGGATACCAAGCCGGAGGGGGCTTGGCTTTTATATCATCTCCTGGGTCTCGATATTCTTCAACACTCACCTGTAGATATATGGCGGCTCAAAGGGCTCTCCAGTTATGAACCTGCAACTTGGTCACTCATAACTTCTCGTTACTTCACGGCGGGGCCATAAGCAAGTCAAATGATACAAATCGTCGACTCCGAGAGGACGATTGAACCGGTCAGAGAAATGGGCAGCTCAAAGATTGGTAGACTCGAATAAATACTCCGCTCGTATGCATCTTGCTATGAGGGGAAGTGCTCACGGGAGTCGCTTCTTGGGGTTATTCCTGCAGAAAATCCGGGGTCGACGAGACTACGATTCAGGGTCTAAGAGTCGCTTGACGAGTCTGGAGCGTGGGGGTTTATTTGAGCCTTTTGAGGCCAGTCAACGTTCCATTGGAGCCATTGGTACGGCTTCTAGGGTGTGCAGTACATACATTACAGTCGCGGAAAGTTTAAGGAGATGAAAGGATCATGGCACGGTGACTGCGCCTCGACAGCGTATCATTCAAGAGGAAGAGTCCAGCGGATCTGACTGAAATAAGCCGGTTTTAACATGGCTCCTTCAAAGTCCGAGCCATTGACCACGAACAAAAGCAATGTTTTTATCCATACGACCATACTTCTACACTTGATAGATAACAAATGTAGAACGATTTCAATTCTGCAGTGCGTCTTCAACGGACCAGCGGATGTCTTGCCAGCTTAGAAGTCATCACGATGCTATATAACTACTCGCCAGTAACAATTGCTTGTGTAACCATCCCAGGCATCGTGGCATGTCTTTCCATAAACCACGTTGGTCCAAATGTAATTTCAGCTGTCAGCTTTGATGACCCGTGATGTGTCAGGCGTTCTCCAGAACAAGTTTATCCAACATAAGGTCTTCGCAAAGAGTTCACAATTGCGTCACAGCCGACGCTTTCAGCCATTGTAACCCAACCTAGTCCTCCGTGAGGAATCAGGCTACTGAAGAAATATATGCATAAAACGCCAAGCTACGACGGGATGTCAGCGTCTAGGTCGGTGTTTAAGAGACCATATTACTTGGTAGCCGACGGCCATTGCTTACCCTGCGGTGACATATAAGGTCGTATTGTCTAGAGGCTAGAATGAAACCAGAATGTCGTTAGAAAATATATAAGATGAAGAGTTTTGACGTCGCAACATCGGCCATTGGTAAGTACGGAATAGCGGGAGTGGAATTAATAAAAACTAACTTTGGTGTCGACTTAGCTGAATGTTATGAAAATTGCATGGTAGTATCCCTCGAAAACAATGATATGACGAGCTTCAACGCCTCATTTCTCATAATCGGACTATATAGCTCTCCTTATAGACACAATAATTGCTCGCATGTTTTTCATGCAACTAGTCAAAGACTGCCGACAGAGGGACAGACCACACTTTCCTAAGCTCATGATATCTTGACGTTGCATTATGCTCACTACACAACGCGGGAACTCAACGATGACCGCAGAAAGGCACGTTGTTACGGGCATTCTGAATGCTTCTGTTGGCCAACGGGGCAAGCACCGAAGCGGAAAGGCTGAAGAGGATCATACTTCCTTCTCCATCACTTCGTAGCGGTCAATATACACAGCTCAGTTATGTTACCTAGGTATGCACTACGCCGCCAGGACACCTACCACGCACAACATCATCGCTTACAGCTTCTCCTCGCAGGGCGTGCAAAACGTGCAAGTGGAGGAGGCTATGCTAATGTCGAGGCACATTGAGGGTTGGAAGATGGCATGTTGTTGACGTCTTGCCTTCGAACTGAATCAAGCACATAAGCCTCGGTCACATGTAGCGAGCATATGGTGTCATCTAAGTTGATTCTATCAATAAGACCTGCCTTGATTCAAGCGATATGAGGTAACCCTGACCAAAATCATTCCTTCGTCAACATGTCCGAAGGATCTGCAATAACGCCAAAAAACCATACCTTCATGCTCGCCAGTACGCCATATAAGTGAGAAAGAAGTGAATATTTTATACAATAACCAAGTCGTCATCGTCATCGTCGAGCGTGATCCGCCGGTCGAGGAGCTCGTCACCTAGACTCTCCCTGCCGGCTTCACGGATCCCCTTATCTGTCACAAAGCGAGTCTTTTTCCGCACTGGAGGTTGTTCATCTTTGCGTAGCTTTTCCCCTTCCTTCATCTTTGAAAGCTTATCCTTTAAATTGCTCCCCCAGCCGAAGGCCGTTGGGCCGTTGCTTATGGCTGAACCAGCCTGCGAGCTGGCTTGAGAGCTGTCTGGGCGTTTCCGTTTTACAGGGCTCAGATGAATGCCAGAATCTTTCCCCAGCAGGCCCAATGACTTTGCGTCTGGCCTGTAAGCTTCCTCTGACGCTTGTGCACCGCTCGATGGTTGGGTGGAGTTGCCCGCAGCAGGTAGTGCCGCTCTCGAACCAGCTTGTCGCATATATTCTCTTCCAGCTGCGCTGCCAACCTGGCCGAGCTTCTTCATCATCTCGCGTTCTTTCTCTTTTGCCTCGAGATCTCTTTTCAAGAATTCTGCTCTTTCTTTTCGATCGTTCGGTGTTCTGTCCTTCCCATCAATCAGGTCTGCTGCGCTCATGGAACGTGAAGCGAACCAATGCGTCTTTGTTTCCCAGTCATATTTCTTAGATGCCTCCTTTTTCTTCTCGGCGCCCCAGCTAATAAGTTCTCTAGAGTTATTCTTCCTGGCGCCGAAACTGCTTCCATTTACTTCCATTCGTGTCGAACGCTGTTTGCGAAGGGCTTCATTGGAGTGGAATTCGCAGTGATGAGTACGCTTCTTATTGATCCAAACGCCACATAAATCTCCATCCTTCTTGACTGATTGACAACCTCCGAGATCACGAGATGTGCCAACCTCAATAATTGAGTCATCATCTGAATTGATGACTAGACTGAACTTGCCAGTATCATGTCTTCCGGGTGGGGGTGGCATAATAGTAGGGTTGAGTATCGCAATGACAGTCCCTTCTGTGAGCTTCCAGTATTTTGTGAATCCAGAGTTGAAGAGAAAAAGGTCCAGTTCCCATTCTAGATCAACTAGGGTCATGACCATGTACTTCCCCCTGTCCTCCATCTTTCCGTTCTTTTGAGTTGGTTTATGTGCGCGAGGCTCTGATTTCTTTGCCAAGATACCGAACACCACTATGTCTTGTTCAACATCCGGTAAAGCAAAGTCTGGTGCTTTAACAACTTTCAGTACATCCTTGATTGTGTATGCTTGCTTTCCGGAAACGTGTCGAGCAAGGACGCCGTGTGGTAAAATTCTCTTGGACAAGTGAAAGCTCGAGTATGGCTCAAAACCAGCCGCTTGTTCTTCAGATACTTCGCCAGGGGGTGTCTTTTTCTGCCGAACCAAAGCTGTAGAAGTTGGCACTGGAGCCCTCTTTTCAGGAGCCTGAACATTAGGCACGGTGTAACTTCGTTGCAAGCCAACAGGTTTTGTTGTCCCTACAATTTCCTCCCTTGAGAAGGACGGAGCCTGCAATGGCTCATCGGGTATCTCAATAGCCTTCTTCTTATACTGTTCCATCTCATCCTGGCTGATACTGAACGCATTGGATCTTAGCTTTTGAATGTCCTTTTGCCGCTGAGCCCGGGCAGCCTCGTCTGTCCTCGCGGAAACAAGTCGTTCATTGAAACTCATTGGGCGTGACTCTGATGAGAAAGAGGAATTGCCGCTCCCTGTAGTTTTCGACCTTGATCTTCGCAAATAGCCCGTTTGCCCAATTTCAGTCGATGTTTGCGAATCCCGGTAGCTGGGCGCACGCTTTAAGGAGATGTCTCGAGCCTTCAGGCCCTTATCAATACCCAGCAACACTCTACTCGGCGATGTTTGCGCCGATGGTTCTTGAACCCTCCTGACGGGTGACGCAGGCACTTCCACATGGTTTTGTTGTCGAGCTAGTGGCTCCCTAGTTGGAGTGGTTGCTCGCCTCGATCGACTTGGAACTTGCGTTGATATCACGAGCTCCGAGGTCGTGGTATGTAATTGCTCAACGCTTTCTTCCGACTTTTTCGACTTCGCAGCCTTCAGTTTTTTCAACTTCAGCCGTGCCTGGATCTCTTGAAGCTTCAGCTGCAGGGTTTCCTCGTCCTCATCATCCTCATCGTTTTCAATCTCGGCCATAAGATTCATCGATGGTAAGTTGCGAGATCTTTTCGACGGTGAAGGTGAAGGCGATGTCATCATCTGTCGGTAACGCTCTCGTCCACGCGGCGTACTAAGCAGAGCTTCATGCGGAGATCTTGGGGGCCATTGGGCTTCGGTTCCTTGTTTTGCTGGAGAAGCTGTGGCATGGGGGGTCAGTGATTGTCACATGAAAAAAGGCAATTATTGTGGTCTCACCTGGGGCCATGACGATACCTGGGACAGGAGGTAAATTTCAAGCGGGTGGCCCAGAAACCAGTCCCGTCGGTATGCAGCCACTTAGAAGGGTTTGGATGTAAGCGTTCGTCCTATAGCATAGAGCATATTCCCAATCGATTAGGGCGGTAGGTATAGCCTTGGGAGGGCGTCAGCCATTCAGCTGGATCGGTCGAGAGTCGTTGGTGAGGGTAAGATGCTGAAGATATGAATTTTTTAGTTGTTGATGCAGGGAATGCTTGCTTCAGCGAGCAGTTGAAGAAGACATCCACACCCAATGCGTCGTCAACCAATACTGACTGGGCGGGCGCAAAGCTCTTTGCTCTTTGCGCTGGCTAGGTTGGTCTTGGCGCGGCCACTATACTTGGATATCCACTAACCTAAATACGGTAACGTTACGGAGTACGGAGTAGTAGCCTCTCATTTGTAGCCCCTGCAACCGTCGCGTACAAACGCGTCTCAGCGTGTTTAATTCACACTTACATTGACTGTAGCACGAGCATTATTTCCCTTTAGCTTTTCTACCAGACCACATAACTAGGCATCTTTGGAGAGCATCAACGCATCTGTCTTGTTGCATTTTCTTCTTTGGATTCTATTCACGAGAAGCTTTGCGCATATTCATATTCCTTCTCAATTATCCTTCATACAATGGCAAGGACAAGATCAACCAAAGCTTCTACAGCTGATACGAAAGCCTCAGAACCTAAATCTACCTCATCCAAGTTCAGTCTATCGTCTCGGGCAGAGAACCCCTCGAGAATCTTCATACTCCCCTCAAAAGCGACCCCCGAAGCACGCATCGTCACTCTTCCCAATCCTAGACATGGTCGACCAGCAAGATACCTCGTGTGCCCAGAGACAGGCATATACGAATTCACCAAAGTTGCGATACCAAACACGACTCCTCGAAGTTGGCTGATCGAGACTTCATCAGACTCGTCTACGGATAGCGTTAGGAAGACTGGAGTATCCATGGGCCAGGATCTCTTTCTAGCGACTTCAATCGACCCCCTATTTTTGGTTCTCCCAGCATTGACGGAAACCCAGTCAAAGAGCTCAGAAGGAAAGCGGCTGTTTCTTTCCAGTGATGACTACTTTGATAAGCTACCTCAGGGGTCATCCCATCTATCTGAAATCGTGCGATGCGACAAGACACGGAAGCTCATCGAGAGCCGAATGGCCGAGGTTTGCGATACTGTTGAAGCAGGAGATGAGAACATGTTCCGGATAAATGAGAGCAAGCTCGTCAAGGTTGTCCTAGAAAAAGCAAAGAGAATGCGCGAGGGTGGACTGGCTCCAAGCATGGAGGAGAAGTTCGTGAAGAAGGCTCTGGAAGCACCTATACTCGTACAGAAGCGAGAAACGACAGAGATTACTACAACAACAACACGAACAGAATACCAGGCATCTAACCCTGAATCTGCTGATTCCCAATCGACTGCCGCAACGACAGAAACAGAAGTATCTGAAACCTCTACCGCAGCCACATCTTTTACTGCAGAGACAACAACGGAAAATATTGTCAGTGCCATTCATGCATCTCTTGAGATAATAAATCTTCAGAGACTACGAATTGCTTTTAGTTTCATTTGCTCATGCTACGTTGCCTCATCTCTTGCAGCTCAGCTAGAGGACATGCTGAAAAGGGAGACTATTGTAGACTTCTCACCTCTGGACGAGTACCTGGCTAAGCTTAGCAAATTGCGCGCTGAAGCCATGGCTGCTCATTCTATCGACTACTCTCGCAAGCGTGGCTTAGACGAGGAAGAGGACGAGGCTTTTGTCAAGAAGAGAAAGATGGAGGAGGAAAAGAAAAAGAAATCGCTTGAGAGCAGGGGAGTTCGGGATCTCAAGAAAGTCAACACCAAGGGCATGAAAAAGATGAGTGACTTTTTCAAGAAGAAGTAATAATAATAAATCTCTATTGGGTATATGTCATTAAAACGTGATATGAACCTGGTCTGGCTTATCTGGTCCCCCTCGCTCGGCGCGCACCGAACCCTCGACCAATGTTTGAAGTACCGCGAGTGCTCGGTATGCTCGAAGTAGTGCTTTCGGATGTATAGCTTGAGCTAACACTCCTCGTGGTGGCGGCTCGGCCTCGTGCTCTCGTGGTACCCCTGGGCCCTCTTGTTCCTCTGGTTCCTCGTGCAGGTGCAGTCGCGGCCAGTCTTCGTCTCTCCTCTTCTTCTTCCCGGCGCTGTCGCAACTCCTCGCGTCTTTGTTCCTCCTCAGCTGCCCTTCGTTCAGCGGCCAGCTGTTTCTGAATGGCTTCAGCCTCTTGTTCAGCAATATCCTCTGTTGCGCCTTTCCATGCAGGGTTTAGAATTAGTCGCTGGTTATGCTCGGTTTGGGATAAAATCCGTGTCCAGGTGTTGAGAAGAACAGAAGCATTATTCACTGTGCTCAATACAGTCTGTAGGAGGTTAGTATGTACACACTTGATGATGCAATGGGGAACATACGTTCATATTACCCCCTGCACGTTCCAGGGTCGAGATGACACCCTCAATGGACTCGTTTATGCTCCGGACACCTTCAAGCTCTTTGCGCAATGCGGCCTCATGGTCGATGGGCTCTGGGCGCTCTTGGGTAGGCGTTTTGGGTGTTTTGGGAGTTCTAGGAGTTCTAGGAGTTCTGGGTCGAGAGGTCGGTGGGCCATCATCATTCCCGGGAGACTCCCAGATGTTGGATTCTGTGTATTCGGTTGTATCGTCAGCCATTATGGCAGACAGCTATGGCTTCCGATATAGTAGAAGCAGGCCCGGCTTGTTGAGAATAGTATCAGTGACCGACTATGTTGGAAGCGCCGGTGGTCGCAGTGAGGTCGTGTGTTTCGAGACGTCCACGTTTCAAATATCATGCACAAGACGCTATGGCGTACTCCGTACCTACAGGGTCAATAGGCGCTTGCTGAATTAATTGTCATGGGTTGCTGTGGAATGGCAGCTTTTGTTTAATTCATGAGGGGCACCGCTATTGTTCCCACCATTGATTTAAACTCATAGCTCATGGCTGCATATTGATTGGCCGTAATCTGTCGCGTAACGAACGCGTCAGGAGGGGTTGCTGACACGACGAACGCGGTTAGGTTGCAAGTGGACCTATCTTTTAGTGGGTAAAACCTGGTCGCACAACCAGAGAATAGGGAGGCTGGGAGGCTGGTGCACACTCCAGGGTAGTTTTGTCCCAGCCACTTCTCTCATCTTGATTCTTCTTCCTATTCAAATGTAAACATCTTACCCTACAAACTTACATCTCTAAATCTGCCATTATCATCAATTAGCAAGCGACCTCCATCATTGAGCTCTTCTTTTGCTATACCCAAAGACTATATATCCCCTTTCAAGACGGCCACTCTATTTTCCCAAGTCAACTGCGCTGTTTATCACGTCAGTCAACGAGGCCAATTCGAAGCAATCCTATCGGGTAGACCTGGCAGCTATCAAGACCAAGTTTCTAGTATTAAGTCGTTTATATCCTTTGAGGGATAAGCTTAATATTCCAGCAACACCCCTCGACCGTTTTAATCAATAGTCAACACTGACTGCCACTGCCTCTCACTGCCCATCAAAATGGCCGACCATCACGGCTCTACCACTCCTCCACCGCCCACCCGCATCCGCACTCCGCCAACTCCTCGTCTCGGATACCAGGACAACTGGGAGCCTTTTACCCCTCGCAAATCTGCACGAATCTCATCACGACAAACAAGGTCTCCATCGCCCGACGCATCACATCGTCAAATTCAGTCACCGCATACTGCCAAAAAGTCAAGCAAGCATTTGAGCGCTGCCATCGCTTCTCCTTTGCCGCATAAGAAGCGCATGCCTGCTACTGATTTCGTTCGCCGCGCAACAGAAAATATGCAGGCGGAAACTTCTCGTGATGGTGCGAGCCGTCGCATTCATGAGCGATCTACCTCTTCCGTTGCTGGGGCCGCTGGCATGCTCCCTACACCATCAAAGACCCCTCAAAAGCCACCCACGGAAAAGAAAGCTGCACACATCAAATCAGTCGCCCGCAACCTTTTCAGTTCTGATGCCGATGAAGCGACTTTGACACCCAGGAAACGAGCTTCCAAGAAGTACACCGGCATCTCGATGGAGAGCTTCTCCGTAGAAGAGGTTGAGGAGCCTATTGAGATCTTCACCGATACCCGGGATCGAGTACCTGTTCGTGATGAGAGCCAAGAGAATCCCTTCCTTACATCGGAAAACCCATTCTTCAGCGATGCACCGCGACCCGAGACTACTAAACGTCACGACAAGCGCAAGGTCAAGGTTCCTGGAGAAGGCATCAAGACTGTCGATGATCTTGCGGATCGCAAGGATGGTATGGTGTACACATTGTAAGTGTTGTTTGACCCAATTATTTAATATGCAAATGCTAATTCGAACAGCCGAGGAAAAAGATTCTTTCGCAAGTGGTCGGAGCAAGAGATGGATGATTGGGATGAGCGTCAAGCCGCGGAAGAGGACCCTGAGGCTCATCTCAACCGCCCATTGACTCGAAGTTCTATTAAACCTCGTCTTTTGTTCCACAACGATAGGACGGATGAGCAGGTTGAAGAAGAGGAGGCTGTGACTGACGTCGAGGAGAATGACGAGGAACTACATGTCCCAGAAACTCCATCTGCGTCTAAGCCAGAACGCGCTCGCACTCCTGAAGCACCCAGGTTTGCTCCCGCTTCACCGCCGTCTACTCGACGAGTCACTCGATCCGCGAACAAATTGCCTGACGAAAGTACTCCTGTCAAACCGCCTGGAAAGCGAAGCCCGTTCGATTCTTGGCGACGGACCAAGGAAGGTGTCGTTAAATCACCATCGCGCAAACGCTCCGCAGAAAGCACCGACACTAGGGAGTCTAAGCGTACCCGTATCTAAGGAAATCTCTCACCGTGTAGCGTCGCATTTACTTTGTAATGCGGTGTCACGTCTCAGTCAAGTGGCTGCCCCACGAACTTCAATAATTCTGCATACGGTTTAATCCTACTTATTGCCTTTCAAAGGAATTTCGGAACGGTTTTGGCGTTGGACGGTATTGGCGCGTTAAAAGGATTAATAGGGCCGACAGGATCGACAGCATGTATTGCATTGAGAGACAGCGTTTATTGTTGATACCTGCCCTCGAAAGAGGAAGAGAGGATGGAAGGCCAAGTCTGTTTCGGTTTATTATATTTGATAAGGTTTGGTACGGCTGGTCTGTTCGCTAAGGGTTTTCCCTCTGAAAGTATTCGATTCTGTGAGCCCCGGTTTTTAGGTAGATTTTTTTTTTCATGATGTAGTCGACTAAAGGAAAAGACAAGTTCATGATAATTACATGAGTCCCCCCTGACACCTGCACCTGTGAACATTAAGCCCAATTGGAAGTCGTTCTGTGACGTACTGACGTGATTAGCGCTCTCCCCGACTCTGCATACCTGCCCCACGTGCCCCTCATTGCGATTTCGCCCTGACATTGATTTCATCAAATACTCTATGTATCTCACGGGCATTGCAATTTAGTGAGTCCCTTCTCTCTCTTCCCTACGTATCCTTTAGAGAAGGGAAATACTAACTACTAGGCCAGATTGCAAGGACCCTGTGACACCGTCTCTATACGTCAAGATGCATATCCTCGTCACGAATGACGATGGGCCGCCATCACCACACTCCTCTCCCTACGTTCACTGTCTCATTCAACAGCTCCAGCAGGCCGGCCACACCGTCTCAGTCTGCTTGCCCCATACACAGAGATCTTGGATCGGAAAGGCACATATGATTGGGCAGACTCTCAAGCCTCTTTACTACCGCCCTTCAAAGGTTATCCACGGTGAGGACTCTCCTGGCACTACTCATCATCGACCCTCCCCATCAGGAGATGTCGAGGAATGGATTTTGATTGATGGAACGCCGGCTTCTTGCGTTCAGATTGGCCTTCATCACTTTTTCCAAGATCGAGGCCCTATCGACCTTGTTGTTAGTGGGCCCAACTACGGCAGAAACACCACAGCAGTCTTTGCCCTTAGCTCGGGGACGCTGGGTGCTGCTCTAGAGGCCGCTGTTTGCCAGAAGAAATCCATTGCGCTGAGCTTCGCCTTCTTCACTCGGAACCATGATCCAGTTATCATCGAGGCAGCTTGCCGGCGCAGCGTCAAGGTCATCGAAACACTTTACAATCAATGGCCCACAGACGGCAGTGCAGACCTCTATAGCGTTAATGTGCCCTTGGTAGAGGGACTGGAGAACAACAAAGCTATATGGACCAACGTTCTGCAGAACTACTGGAGAGAAGGCGGGTGCTTCCAGGAGATCGAAGGTGAGGCAGGAGACGAGAATGAAGAGGAGGAGAGAATACGTGAGGGTGTCGGAGGTGAAGTCGATGATGCCGCCCGACCTAGCTCACGAAAAGGGCATACCCATAAGCACTTCAAGTGGGCGCCAAAGTTCACTGATGTTTACAAGAGTGTGGAAGAGTCGGGCCCGGGCAACGACGGATGGACTGTGAAGGAGGGATTGACGAGGTATGTTGTCTACAACGAGAAGATTCCATCACTGACTATTTTAGCATCACACCTCTCAAGGCAAACTTCATGCATGGTCCTGGAGAATGGAACCAGCAGGAACTCAAACTGTAAGTGTCCTCGATTGAACGATATGTGGTGGGCAGAAGTAGGAGAGAAGCACAGTGCCTGTATTCTACCAAGACCACCAATAGACATATTCTTACTATTGATAAAGGGACCCAGGTTCAGAGGCAAGCCAAATCAAGCAAGAGGTGGCAATGAGGCAAAAGAGCCTCGCGATTCAAGCTGTCATCTCCTACGAAGACTCTTACGTACAACCACTCATTCTCTCCGCCCTCAACACACTGTTCCCCGAAGGCATATTCAATGTGACCACTGAAGTACCGGAGTCTGATGAGCCAGCTCTTGCGAAGATTGTCCCCTTAGAAGGAAACATCTTACAGATAGTGGCGTACGAGGCCATTGACTTCGAGTATGCCGCCAGCCATGAGCGTACGACTCTTATTAACAGCTATATGATTCGAAAGGCTCTGATCCGAAAACACTTTCTGTCCACTACTGTCGATCACTGGGTCGCAAAGCACCCCGAGTCTGCCTTGGGGTCTCACGTCAAGCGCAGTGAAGCATTCGAAGTTGACTTTGCCGAGTTTCTAGACGATGCTCTAGTGGAAGCTTTTGACCTCCGAGAGAGTATGGAACGCAACGAACAACAGTCGAATCCCAAGGATAAGGAGTGGTGGATCCTGAAGCCAGGAATGAGTGATCGCGGTCAAGGTATCCGACTCTTCAGCTCCATGGATGAGCTTCAGAACATATTTGACATCTGGGAGGAAGGCCAGCCTGACACTGATGATGAAGAAGAGGATGTTGCTGGGCAGGATGACGACGGCGACAACATTATGACTTCGCATCTGCGACACTTTGTTGCGCAGCCATATATTCACCCGCCCCTTCTTGTCGACGACGAGAAGCGGAAGTTCCACATTCGCACCTACGTGATGTGCACAGGAAGCCTCGATGTCTGGGTTTACAAGCACATGCTGGCCCTCTTTGCTGGAAAGCCCTATGCTGCGCCGGCAGATGCACCAGAGGATATCGAGTCTTTCCTTACAAACACATGCCTTCAAGACTCACCAAATGAAAACACCGTGCGCCGTTTCTGGGACTTGCCCTTGTCTGGCGATATGCTCGATGATATATTCCACCAGATTTGCG